AAGCTTAGCAATACAACGATTGTCGTCGTTATGGCCGCCGAACGTTGCGGAAGCAATCTTGCGGCTTGACTAGCAATAAACCCAGCGATCCTTCTTGGGACCAGAGGTGTAAACCAGCAAGAAATATAACCGAAAAGTTCTTATGAGGACCATAGAAGAAAAACACAAGACCAAACAGTCCTTATAAGAGCCAAAGAAGTGAATTCGTGGGCCGCACAGTTCCAACTGAATATCGAAGTCAACTCCCACGGAAGTTACGAATATCTATCGAGGACGTTAAAAGAAAACGAGACTGACGTCGCCATTCTGCAAGAGACGCACATCGAAGACGATTGCAAAGCGGCAGGGTGCAAAATTGCTGAATTCGGTATGGCCGCAAACAGTAGTGACTCCAAACACGGTTTAGTTATCTATGCCAGATTAAACCTCCAGAATATCGCGGTTATAAACATTGGCGAAGATCGGATAGGAAAACAACGAAGCGAACTGAAAGGACTCGTATTGAAGATTAAAAAGTCGTCATAATTAAGATAACAAGCGACCCGGAACCAGTTAGCAAACACCAGTGCTTCTTCCAGCTGCTTATGAGTGTACATAGTGAACGTTGCGGAGGATGAACAGCTAATCGACTGGAAATCGGAAGCTGGCGTATACTTATGCTTCGATGCTAAACAGCAAGGTACTTTTAGATCAGCCACGTAGAATACTGACTGAAGTTCGGACCTCTACTTTGCCTCCAAACACAGTAGCGGCATTCCGCTTCCTCCCTCCAGGGGAGTGCTAGAATTCATTCCGAAAAGCCAGCATCCTCCTATAGTGCTCTTAGTCGATCTGCAGGTACCGTTTATTCAGTCCGCTCCATTATCACGCTGGAACTTTCGAAAAGCAACCCGGTCATCGCACACTGCCGAAGTTGAATACTATAACAAATGGGTAGTAGCTAGGCTTCAGTTATTCAGCATTTTTGTGCGCATATGGACCTCTGTTACGACAAACAATATCCTTTGTGGGAATAGGAAGTTCTATGCACATTGTTTGTCAAAGGACGCAGAGGACCTTTACAAGAAGTACCGATGCCGAGAAGCCCTCTGAAATTGCAGCCGCTCTCTTCGAATTTTGAATTTGGAGGTTCAGAAACGATGGAAGGAGACTGAAAGCGCAGGATTACACAGCACAAGTAACAAGGTATCGGCACTTCTGCGCCACCTTGGTGCTGCTAAACCTGCTAAGCACTGAGTTGCGGCAGTTTCCGCCTTCGCAGTTCCCGAACTTCTTGGATCCGAAGGGCCGACACAGTTAAGTGATAATTTTTTCATTCTGCGTTAGCATAGTTAATGCAGTTTTAAACATGGAAATTCGTGGTGGCATCAAGCTTATCGTGATCCATCAAAACGTAGCAGTTCAGGAATAACACATCTGTGAAATGGCCTCTGTTTTTGCTGATATACAGATGAAGTTCGAACAAGTCCAGCTTTGCAGAGAACATTCTTTAACCATGTCTCTGTTTGGCGAATGTTATTCGATGTTCAAGACCTTGCTGGCGAGATTGT